CCCTTCCCTTTCTATCTCATCACTCCGGGTGTCATTTTCAAGCTTTCCCAGCAAAGATTTCATATCTTCATCTCCATCATTGATAAAAACGTTTAATAGCAGTGGACGAAGAGCAGGGCCCCGGGGGAGGGAGGTGGAAATAGTGCTACTTACTGATATCTCCCCATTAGCAGCTCCTCCAAGATCTGCCAGGGAAGCATTTTTAATCCATCTAATATGTGCCCTGTTAATTCCTTATAATGCAAGTTTTAATCAAAATGTCAGGTGGAAGTAAGTCAAATGCCTTGGAGAGATCCGAGTGTGCTGTATCAACACAACTGCCTCCTCAACCAGCCCGGCAATCCTGTCAGGGAGAGACAACAGGTCTGGGTGACAAGCCCTGCTGTCTGTGCCACCACGCTGGCTGCAGCTCCTGAGCCTGGGGACATCCCATCACCACCTGGTCCTCGACCCAGGGATCCATCTGTGGACCTAAAACCCACCAGAGAGCAGCAACCCCCCCCGAGCACTGCCCTCACCATCTTCTCCAAGCCCATACCCACATCTCCTCATTATTCTGGGGATGGTGGTCCCTGAGGGGGATTGAAGGGGATGAACCTTCAAGGCTGGATGAGGAGGTCTGAGATGCTCAGCCCCAAGGATCCATCCCAGGAGGAGCTTCCAGCATGGCAATGGTGGAGCCCATGCGGCCCTGAGGGACAGAGGACAGTGGTCCCTGAGGAAGAGGATGAACTTTCAAGAGCAGACAAGGAGGTCTGAGATGCTCAGCCCCAATATCCATCCCAAGAGGAGTTTCCAGCGTGGCAACGGTGGAGACCATGTGGCCCTGAGGGACAAGGGATGGTGGTCCCTGAGGAAGGGGATGACATTCAAGGCTGGACGAGGAGGTCTGAGATGCTCAGCTCCAACACCCATCCCAGGAGGAGCTTCCAGCATGGCAGTGGTGAGGGACAGGGGATGAACTTTCTAGAGTAGACAAGGAGGTCTGAGATGCTCAGCCCCAATGTCCATCCCAGGAGCAGTTCTAGTGTGGCAATGTGGCCCATGTGGCCCTGAGGGACAAGGGATGGTGGTCCCTGAGGAAGGGTGGATGAAGGGGTCTGAGATGCTCAGCCCCAGGGATCCATGCCAGCAAGAGCTTCCAGTGTGGCAATGGTGAGCCCATACAGCCCTGAGGGACAAGGGATGGTGGTCCCTAGGGAAGGGGATGAGTTTTCAAGGCTCAACAAGGAGGTCCAAGATACTTGGCCCCAATGTCCATCCTAGGAAAAGCTTCCAGCGTGGCAATGGTGTAGACCATGTGGCCCTGAGGGACAAGGGATGGCAGTCCCTGAGGAAGGGGATGAGCTTTCAAGGCTGGACGAGGAAGTCTGAGATGCTCAGCTCCAACATCCATCCCAGGAGGAGCTTCCAGCCTGGCAGTGGTGGAGCCCGTGTGGCCCTGGGACACGAGGTGGGCTGAGGGCTGTGGGAGGACCAGAGCTCAGGGGCTTCCCCAGCTTGCAGGATCTTTCATCCTCCGTCACCACGAAGCCGGGCCAGATCTGCCTTTGCAGCAGCCCACAGAAGCTGCCTCTGTTGTCTTATTTTTGTTATTTTTGAGAGGATATTTTAGCGCCGAGCACATTCCCTCCTGTTGCCATGGCAGCCGTGACAGGGGTTATATACCGTGAGAAAAATACCAAAATTAATGAGTGAGTGAAAGAGCAGCCAAGAGAAAAACAAGGTTAAAAAAAGAGTTAAAACAGTAATAAAAACAATCTCCCAATAATTCGGCAGCGAGTGTCCCACAGGCAAGACAGGCAGTGAACATCCGAGCCCTCCAGCCCCTCCATCGATCCCAGGGTGGGGTTGGCCGCCCGTATCCCATGGCCAGAGCATCCCTGTGGTCCGAGGGATGTGCTGCTCCCTCAGCATCCCACTCCCACTCCGGATGGGGCTGAACCCGCCCGGCTCCTTCCCCCGCAAACCCGCAGCCCTTCCTGAGGCGGGAGGCGTGCGGGGGAGAAGTCCTTTAATGTGCTCATTTCCTTGCATTTGGGTTTTGAGGATCTTTTTGTTTTTAATTGTAGAAACAAGCGAATTGTCAGAACATCTGTGTTATTAGCATTTGCTGCCCAAATCCGAGCTGCTGCTTCTCCTGCAGAGCCCAGAGCTGATGAGAGAGAGAACAGAGGAGCCTTTGAACTCCTTGCAGCAGACGGCAGCCAGGTTGCTGCGTGTGTGTGTTGGGGAGGGGGTATTTATTCTCTTGTAAGGTTCATTTGCTCTCCGTGTTTCCCTTTCTTCTCGCTTTCCCAGAGATTTAGCTGGATGCTCTTCCCTTGCAGGCTTTGTTCTTCTGACAAGGCCCCACTGGCACCACGAAGCTGCTGTCGCTGGGTGATGCCAGAGCATCCCAGCACGGGGTACCCGTGGCACGGGGCAAGGCAGAGCCTCCAGCAGCAACTCCAGGGGTGGTGGCACTGCCAGCACCGGGACAGGCAGGTGGGAAGGGTCTGGAGGGCCTCATGAAATAACTCTGCAGCCAAATCTGCAGTTTGATGGTTTCTTGTTGCTCAGACTGGCTCTGCTTTCTGGGAAATGGTGAAGACAAGGTGAGGATGGGTGACTCATCCTGTGACTGTTACATAGCAGGAAGAAATTCTTCCCTGTGAGGGTGGGGAGGCCCTGGCACAGGTTGCTCAGAGAAACTGTGGATGCTCTATCCCTGGAAGTGTCCAAGGCCAGGTTGGACGGGGCTTGGAGCAACCTGGGCTAGTGGAAGGTGTCCCTGCCCATGGCAGGGGGTGGAATGAGATGTCTTTAAGGTCCCTTCCAACCCAAACCATTTTTGATTCTATGCTAACACCCAGGAGAAGGAAGTGCAGGGAATGGCAGTGCCTGTGTCAGAGGGCAAGGAGCACCCTGGCACTCTGGGAGTGTCTGCTTTCAAAGGCAGCAGGGTGGAGGAGGAAGGTAGAGGCAGACAAGGCAGCCCTGGGCTGCCAGGTCACCAGTGGCCTGGACACAGTTCCCCACCAGCTCCCCAGGTCACTGGCACTGCAGAGGGCTCTGCCAGAGAACACACCTGGGCTGCACACAGGTGGTTCCTGATGCCAGGACACTTTTCCCCTCACTTTTGTAGAGCCTGGATCTGCCCCTCAGAAACGTAAACGTGCCTGAGCAGAGGCTGAAGGTGTCGGGCACTGGTGCCCCACAAACAGGCGGCATCCATTGATCTGTGTGCGTGCCCAGGGCACTCCCTGCACAGCTGCCTCCCGCCTGCCCCGTGACTCTTGTGAAATAGAAACCTTTGGTCCCCAGCAATCTCTGAAGTTTGCCATCCTCGCTCCACAGGCAGCCTTGGATCCACAGGGTCACTCCCTCAGTTCCTCCCGTTGCTCCAGCTCTCTGTCCCTCCAAGGAGTGTTGCCAATGACTGATACATCAAATCTCACGTTGTCTCCAGAGATTTTAATTCCCTCTCTCTGCCCAGATCCCCAGCTCACTCTGTATCAGCAGGGCAAACCCTGACAAACCCCACAGCTCCTTTCCCTGCCCCAAAGGTGGGCTTTGACCTTCCCTGGGTTCTCACTTCACATCTTCTGCTAAATCGGCTTCATGAGAATTGACACTCTGAAAAAAACCCAACACACGGACGGAGAAGCCGACATCTCTGCAGGAGCAGAAAGTCTGGGAGGAGAGCTGTGTTTTCCATCCTGGGGGGATGACTCTCCAGCCCCTTTTTTCTGCTCAGCCTTGACAAGGGCTGAGCTCTCTTGTTGCCGGGGAAAAAAAACAAATGGGGCGATTCGGGGGGGGGGGGAAAGCAGTGCAATTTGGGGGAAAAGCGGGGTGATTTGGGCTGAGATGGAGCCAGGCTCCTCCGAGCAGGCGGGCGCAGCCTCTAGATGGTGCAGTGATGCAGCCGAGCTGAGCATGTGTGCGGCGAAGGGAGCTGCGCAACAGGTTGGCGTAGCTCAGCGGGAAGCAACGCTCCCATCCCCGCGCTGCGGCGGAGCGGAAAGGACTTTCCAGCATCCTGGCGAGAAATCTGCACTGCAACCGCCCGGGAAAGTGGGTGCTGCTCGGTGAGAGGCTCCACGGGGTGCCTGACCCTCGCAGGGTGCTGAGAGCCACGGCGGCATCCCCCTGTGAGAGCGCCGAGGCCTCTGGCAGGGCCAGGCTGCAGCTCTCGCTGGCAAAGGGAGCACTGAGGGAGCTCCTTGCAGGAACACAGGGGCAGTGGAGGAATCCAGGGAAGGGGCACCCCTGGAACACGCTGTCCCCAAGCCCCCGGGGACTTTGCTTGCCCAGCTGAGGTGCCGAGGTGAGGACCCAGCTGAGGCAGAACAGCCTGTGAAGGCACCACAAGGGCACTGGGAGCTCGCGGGTGCTTTTGGGAGTCGCAGGTGTCCCTGCACCCTGCAATAAAACCGTGATTCACCGAGGTGTGACGGGAGGGGACAGCCGCCGCTCCGGGCCCCACCACCTCCGGGAGGTGAGGTCTGCAGCCTGCTGCCAGCCGTGCTGGGCTGGGGGGTCCCGCTGACCTCGCTCCCCCGGAGGGACCCTCCCCACAGCATTGCCCGCCGGGTCCCTGTCCCCGCGGCGGGGCCACGGGCTGTGAAGCGCCGGCTGGAAGAATAAACGAGTGAATTAATTATTAAAGAGTACCGAGAGCGGAGTGAAAGGGGAGACCCGAGCCACACGTGTGCGGGCGAGGAGCGGAGGGGTCGCCGGGGTGAGGGGGTCTGGGGGGCTGCGAGGACTCCCCTTCTCCACGGCCACGGGGCTGGGCGCGGTGCCGGCAGCCCGGAGGCGGGCGGCTCTGCCCGGCAGCCGGTGCCCGCTCATCCCGGCAGCCCGGCCGCGCTCGGGATCTGATAAGGAGCCGGAGCTCCACCTCCCCATGGTGGCGGCGAGAGGCGGAGGCATCGGCGGGCGGGGGGGGGGGGGGAAGGGGCCGTGCCTGCGCTGCGCTTCCCCTGCACATCCTCACACACACCGAGGGACGGAGGCGGGCACGGACCGAGCTGCCCAGCGGGGCTGCCTCCAGCCTGAGCCGCCGCTCCGCCGGAGGAGCCGCAGCCCCGGCTGGGGGAGGGAGGCGGTTCCCACGGAACATTTATACATTTTTTGCCCCCCCCTCCCCTTTTTTTTTCTTTTTCCTTTTTTTTTTTTTTTTTTAATTTTTTTACATTTGGTTTTCATCCGTGGATAACGCTCGAGAGGAGCCGGGGGGGTGGGGGGAGCCCGGTCCCCGCGGGCAGGAGGCGATGGAGACGCCGCGGGACCAGCGCGCAGGGGCTCGGCACGGAGCGCGGCGCCGGCACCATCCAAGTAAGAGCTGCGGCGGGGCCGGGACCCCCGCCCGCGGCGGGGGAGAACCGCGGGGGGAGGCGGTGTGTTGCGGGATGCCCCGCGCGGGAGCTCGCCGCTGTGCGGGAGCGCGGGGCCGGGCGGCGGCGGGAGCGGCGCTGGCGGGCATCCCGCTCCCGAGCATCCCGCATCCCTCCGCGCCGGGCTGCGCGGGGCTCCGCGGGCAGCGGGGCGGCTCCCGCTTGTCCCCGGTCCCGCCCGGCGCTGCCACTTGTTGTGCGGCGCGGCGCGGGGCCAGCCCCGCGCAGGGCAGGGCGGGCGGCGCGGGGTGGTTGCGGGAAGGCGGCTGTGCCGGGGTGCGCGCGTGTTTCTGTGTGTTTATTTTTCGCCGTGGGGGCGGCCCTGGGTGTGTGTCCCCCGTCCAGCCCTGGGTGTGTGTCCCCCGTCCAGCCTTGGGTGTGTGCGCCCGCGGGCTGCGCGGGTGCGTGGGAGCGAGAGAAGTTGCGGGTGAGCTGGGAGCCGGCTGGGAACGGGGCTGTGCGTGTGCGTGTGCGAGAGGAGCGGGGTGGGGGGGCCGGTGGGTGCCCGTGCCCGTGGCGGGGTGTCTGCGTGGGTGTGCGTGTGCCAGCGGGATGCGGGTGCGGGAGTGGGGTGCGTGTGTGTGTGTGTGCGGGGAGCGGGCTGTGCGTGCCGGTGAGTGTGTCAGCGGGCTGTGCGTGCCTGCGCCTCGGAGAATCCCTATTTCCCTGTACGCGACGCTGAGCGCGAAGCCGGTGCCGCGAGAGCGGCTCCCGTGGTTTTTCCGCGGGTGTCCGCGTGTGTGTGTCTGTGTGTGCGTCCGTGTGTGCGTCCGTGTGTATGTGCGATGTGTCTGTGCGTGTGTCCGTGCGTGTGCGGTGTGTCCGTGTGCGTGCGTGTCAGCGGGGCTGGCGGAGGCGCCCCCCGCTCACCCCCGGGGGCTCCGCTCCGCTCCGTGCCCGCAGCCGGAGCCGGCGGCTGCGGGAGCCTCAGCCCGGGCAGCTCCGCGGGGACGCCGGAGCTTCGGCCGCGGCGGCCGGGAGCGGAGCCCGGCCTCCATCCACCCTCCCAGCCGGCGGGACCGGCGGCAGCGGCTCCCCTGGCGCGCTGCGAGGCCGGGGGTACCTTCTCCCCGTCCTCAAGGCCCCTTTATCCCTCCGGGCTGCATCCCTGGAGCAGAGCCGCTCCCGCTGTTCCCAGCTCCCTGCGGCCCTGCCGGGGTGTTTCAGGCCCCGCGACATTTTTGTCTTCCCCCAGGGCCCCCCTCCGGCCGGGGTGGTGGGTGGGACGGTGGCAAGAGGGGACAGGAGACCGGAGGGGCTGTGGAGGACCCCTGGGTAGGAGGATGGAGGCTGCCACTCTAGGGAGGCTCTGACAGGTCTCTGCCTCGCTGGCTGCCAGAGTTGGAAAGGATGTGGAGAAGGCGGCAGGAGGAGGGAGGGCCCTGTGCTTTGCCTGCTTTTCATCGCTGCACAGCTCCTAGAGATGATTTTGGGGTAAAGCTGTTGACAAGCCAGTGGGGTTCCTCACGGGGTGCTCCGGCTCGGGCCCAGCCTGCAGAAATGCTGAGCAGCCGCAGTGGCAGCCGGAGCTGGAGGAAATCCTGGGATGTGCCACAAAATACCCAGGATTCAGCCCATCCTTGCCTTCGGTGCAGGGCTGACCATCAGTGGCCGTTTTCGCGGATAACACGATCCCCGATCTCAGCGCGGAGCCGATGGAGCCGCGATGAGCTGATGAGCCTTTACTGCTTGCTGGGATGTTGCTCCAGCTCCGAGTGTCAGAGCAGAGCTGTGAGGGGGGGGGGGGCGGGGGGGGGGATTAGTACTTGTGTGCTCAGTACAGGGTTTGGACAGACTTGTAAGCCATGGCTCCGAGCCACGCAATCAGCCGTTGGGAGCAATAAGAGGGTGGACTTTGGTGCCCATTCCCGAAGCGGTGCTGCCTTCCGTGGAACGGGGCCAAGAGGCTGTGGGAATCACAGGGAGCACAGGCTTGTTCAAGCAGTTGCTTAAATTCTCGGTGCTTTATAACCTCTCTCTCATTAGGGCTTGTTTTTTTTGGTGGGGATGGCTGAATTCTGTCGGATTTTGCATGCCACTGTCCTCCGAGAGCTTCCCAGTCATGCATTAAGCAGCGTGACTAACGCCTCTCTCATGTGGTTCAGTCTCTCTCACACTCTCCCCATAGGGAGAATTATGTGTGCGGAGGAATAGTTGTTTTGGGAGGGGTTTTTATTTTTAAGTGCTCTGTGCTCTGCCAGCAGGTTGGTGAAAAGGTGCCTGGCACCGAAGAAGAAAGTGTGGGATGGTCCTTAGATCCCATGGGAAAATAGCCTGATGCCTTGGACTGGCCCCTGGGAAGCCTCTGTCTCCTGCACAGACGTGCTTTTCCCGGTGGAGGAGGCTTCCTCCTCCTCCTCCTCCTCACGCCCAGCTCTGGGCTCTCAGGTCTGCTCTGTGTCATTCGCACCCCTGGGTGCTGAGCAGGATTCCTCATCCTGCTGAGCCCGGGGCCCCTCGTGCCTGCTGGCAGTCTCACTCAGGTTCCCAGCCCCTCTCCTCCTCCAACCTCCCTGCTTTGGAGGGTTCCTTCACCTGCAGGAACGAGGCTTGGGTTCAGACTCCAGCTCCATTTTTGAAGCAGAAAGCGTGGGTGCTCGGCACCTTTGGGTGACACCCTTCCTCCTCCAGGCTGGCACAGGGCTCCTGGCATTTCCAGCTCCTGGGCCCTCCCTCCTGGCTCACTCAGAGCCGTGTGAGACATCACAGTGCGTTGAGACTTTCCCCCTTACCTGCGATCTTTCACCTCACACCAAGGCTTAGTCAGGACGGCGCTACGTCATCGGCAGCCACGGCCCAGCCCAGGGCAAACAGCCTTGTGCAAACAGGCTGGTGGTGGGTGCAGGTGCCTCTCCCGGCAGGGGCATCCTCTGGGAGCCCCTTCCCAACAGCTGGAGCTGCCCATCTCCCCTGTCCTCACTGCACAGCCCATCTCCAAAGGGCGCACGGGGGACAAAGGCTCACCCCACAGAGGCAGGTGGACACGACGGGGTCTGGTGTGAGTGCCCTCCTTGGGTGTGGGCACACACAAGTGTCACCCAGCCGGGGTGTGCACGCACACACAAGTGCTCCCACACGGGGTGACATCACACAAACACACACCCGTCGGGGATGGGGACATGCGCACACGCGGCCCCCGCCCTGGCACACGCGTGGCACGGCGCGCACACACGTGAGCTGGGTGCGGGGACACAGACCCACGGCTGGGGCACAGCCCCGACGCAGGCATAGATGTGCTCCTTGCCATGTGTGTGCACACCCTGCTAGTGCACACGTGTGGCAGGCTTGGTTTTCCCTACAGGCACAGCTGTGCTCTGGGTGGGTGCACAGCCCCCGAATCCTCCCGGTACACACACACGTGTGTACACACGCGTGTGCACATACACACATTGCCTGTGGTGGTGCGGAGATGTGTTGTGTTTCTGCTCAGCTTCTTGCCTCCTCCATCCTCAGCCAGGTCCAGGCAAGGAAGAGCTCTTGCTCTCCTCTTCCTTTCCCCCTGGAGACATAAATCCCAGGAACCACAGCAGCGCTGGTGCGGAGAGTTCTGCATGGCCTCAGCCAGGCGGGAATGGCTCTTCTCTGCTCAAAGGATGTGGCAGGACAAGGGAGCAGAGTCAAGCTCAGCTGCAGGGACATCGTTTCATTTCCAGACAGAGAGATGTATTTTCACCTGAGGAGGGAGAGCTCCTCTCTTCCATGTCACTCGTCCATGGGGAAGCCAAGGGGTGGAGGGACCAGGAGCTGCTGGCTTGTGGGAAGTACCAGTGTGGACAGAGCAGGATGCCCCACTTGTTGGTGATCTGTACAATGCCAGGTAACCAGCAATTGGGCACTATCTGTGTGGCACCATGGAGGGGACATGGTGATGGAGCACTCGCCAACCCCACAGACTAAGTGCAGAGTGTGGAGAGGGGAAGTGATGGGAACAGGGAGAGAGAGCTGATGCTGTGGGGCCTTGGCAGATGTTTGTGGCTGTTGATTTTAGGGCACCCAACCACTGTGTTTTTGGGTGCTGGTGAGCTGAGCTGCATCGCTTCATGCTCACAGCTCAGCCAAAGCTGTGTGGGTGCACCTGGACCCTGGAGTAGTTAGATGTGTTCCCAAATGGAAAGCAGGGGACGGGAAAGCTGGTGGCCAAGCACAGCACCAGGCAGGGGCTTGGTGACAGGGCATGTGGTTTGGCCCAGGTCTGTGGGACTGTTGGTGCCTGGCAGTGTGTGGGTACAGGAGGAGGTTGCAGTGTCGGGGTGCCTGCGGTGCAGCCGGTGTCTCTGCAATGCAGGGGGGCAGCACGGGCTGGGCACCGGCACGGGGTGGGCACCCAGTGCCTGTGTGCAGTGTCCCAGACTGGAGTGGGAGGAAATGGGAAGGAACAGTGTGTCTGCAGTGAGCGAAGGGAACAGGATCTGCTGGCGCAGGGTGTGGGGTTGCCTAGTGACTGTGCAGCGAGGGGAGATGCTGTGCCTGCCGTTGCAGTGTGCCGGGGCTGTGCAGTGCCGCTGCTCCGGGGGCTGCCCGTGCAGGCTGCCTGCACTGTAGCACAGAGTGGGCAGGGGGTCTGTGTCCCTCTGACTGCCAGGGGCACAGAGGAGTGGCAGTGCCCTGTGTGCAGTGCAGGATGGATGATGCGTGGGGCTCCTGCATCCCTGCAGTGCTGAGTGGGTGGTGCCTTCGTACCTCGCAGTGCGAGGCTGGCAGTGCCGGCAGTGCAGCGAGGACAGCGCTGCTCTGTCCCTGCCAATGGCAGTGCCCAGTGTCCCTGCAGTGAGGGATGGGTGGCAGCCCTGCAGTGCCCCATGTCCCTGCAGTGCCAGGTGGGTGGCAGCCCTCCATTCCTGCAGTGTCCTGTGTCCCTGTGGTGATGGATGGGTGCTGTTCCTGCAGTGCAGGCAGTGCCTTGAATACTGCAGTGATGGCTGGGAGGTAACTGTATCCTGGTAGTGCCCCATGTCCCTGCAGTGCCAAATGTGTGGCAGTCCAGCATCCCAACAGTGTCCCCTGTCCCTGCATCCCTGGATGGGTGGCAGCCCTGCATCCCTTCAGTGTTCCACGTCCCTGCAGTGATGGAGGGGTGGCAGTTCTGCATCCCAGCAGTGCCCTGTGTCCCTGCAGTGCCGGGTGGGTGTCAGCCCTGCATCCCTGCAGAGCAGGCAGAGCTCCCTGTTCGGTGCTCCCGTTTCTGCGGGGCTGGCAGCTGCGTGCAGTGCCTGTGTGTCCCTGCCGTGCATGGCAGGCAGTGCCCCTGTGCTGGTGGCACACAATGCTCCTGTGTTTGGGTGGTGAGAAGCTGTCTCTGAGCCTGGCCGGCTCCCATCGGGTTGCTGGCAGCAGGCTGCCTGCAGTCCACCCTGTTAGTGTGCCTCGTTGGGTCTAATTACAGTTTGTGTGGTGACGAAGAGGGTGGACAGTGGCAGGAGTGGCTTCCTGTCCCTTGCAGGAAGCCAGGGCTGAGGTTTCAGTGACTGGGTTGCTCACCCCAGCAGGGCGGTGCAGGAACTTTGCAAGGTGGGACCGGCCCTTCAGGGCACTGGATGGTGGAGGCTGCCAGGAGCCCACGGCTGGGCCAGCCCCTGCAGCCCCTTCCCTCGGGAGGCTGTGTCAGGACCATGTGCAGTCCCACATGGCACAGCGGGTTCAGCCAGAAGGATGTGCCAGGGGAGTGGGCTGGGGCGGACTGATCCCTAACCTCCAGTATCTGTGTCTCCTCCAGGTCCCCTGCAGCGCAGGATGAACCCACTGGCATCCTGCCTGGGCCTGTGGCTCCTCTTCCAGCTCCCTGCCCTGGTCTCTGGGACACGTGTGCTCTACAAAGTGCAGGAGGAACAACCCCCCAACACCCTCATAGGGAGCCTGGCCTCCGACTATGGCTTGCCGGACGTGGGGCACCTCTACAAGCTGGAAGTGGGGGCCCCGTACCTACGTGTGGATGGCAAGACTGGGGACATCTACACCACAGAGACCTCCATCGACCGGGAGAGCTTGCGTGAGTGCCAGCACCTCCTGCCCGGAGAGCCCTGCTTCCTGGAGTTCGAAGTGTCCATCACTGACCTGGTGCAGAACAGCGGCCCCCGCCTGCTCGAGGGGCAGATAGAGGTGCTCGATATCAATGACAACACCCCCAACTTTGCCTCACCCGTCCTCACCCTCTCCATCCCCGAAAACACCAACATTGGGACGCTCTTCCCCATCCCCCTGGCCATGGACCGGGACTCGGGCCCCAACGGCGTTGCCTCCTACGAGCTGACGGCTGGTCCGGAGGCGCAGGAGCTCTTTGGGCTGCAGGTGGCCGAGGATCAGGACGAGAAGCAGCCGCAGCTGATCGTCATGGGGAACCTGGACCGGGAGCAGTGGGACTCCTACGACCTGACCATCAAGGTGCAGGATGGGGGCAACCCCCCGCGGGCCAGCAGTGCCCTGCTCCGCATCACCATCCTGGACATGAACGACAACGCGCCCAAGTTCGAGAAGGCCCTGTACGAGGCAGAGCTCTCCGAAAACAGCCCCGTGGGGCACTCTGTCCTCCAGGTGAGCGTGGGGGCTTTCTTCTCCTCCCCAGCTCCCCTCCTACCTGGCTGCAGCAGGGACAACGCGGGGAGCATCATGGCTGCTCGTTGCCACGGGGAGGAGGGAGGGATGGATGGAGGAGCCCACAGTGTCACCCCGGGGCCAGCGGGCAGGCAGGTCCCTGGGATGTCACATCTGCTCAAAAGAGGTTGGAGAGGATGTGCAGGAGGGCACAGCCAGAGTGGGGGCTGCAGGACGTGGCTGAGGGGCAGCAGCAGGGCTGGCGGGTGTGTGGGAGCAGGGAGCTGGGTTACTGGGAGGGCTGGGACCCGAGGTCCACAAGGAGTCTGGCTTCAGGCCAGGCCGGTCTCAATGCTGCCTGCAGACAAGACATAGACCCTTTCATAAGTTGCATTCCCTTGGCTGCTCCGTGGAAACTCAGGCTCGCACAGGAGGTGGGGGGCAGGCAGCATCCCTGCTGCCCGTCCTGGGGGAGCTGCCCATGGCTCTGCAGGTGCCTTACTGTCTGCAGGGAGCGGGGGCTCTGCCCTGCCTCAGACAGCGGTGCAAACTGGCCCAGGGAGCCCAGGGGGTGGATCTTGGTGGATTTGGCTTGGAGGGGGCATTGAGATGATAGTAGTCGACATCTGTTTATCTGCAGCTGCCATCTTAATAAGCGGAGCGCGGCCAGCTCTCATCTGCCTGCTAATTCTGATGTGAATTTTTTAAGAATTCATTTTTCACTGTTAAGAGAATGGAAGTTGGAAGCAGATAAGGGAGCTGCATGGCCGGGAGGAGAATGGGCTGAGACGCCGCTGCTGCCATTGCTCAGCTTTTATCTTTCAGGGGGAAAATGACTTCCGCCTGTTTTGTGAGTGGAGGTAAAAGGTGGAATTTACATTTAACAACTTTCGTTCTCCATCCAAATCTGCTGAGCAAGATAACGGTGGAGCAGCAAATGGTGCAGAGAAGAGGCTGCTCAGAGAGCCGATTAGGGAGGCAAATGTTAGACAAACCTCATCTTCTTTAGAAAGCAAATAATAGGCATAGAGGCAGGTTTATGGGAATGCAGAGCCCCTGACGGGCAGGCAGGGATGGACGGTGCTGTGCAGAGCTTAAACAGCCCCAGTTCCCGTCGGCTGCGTCCCTGGATGCCGGGATGGATCTGCTGCAGCTTCACACATTGTTGCCTCCCTCCTCATCCTCACCTCAGCCAGGCAGCTGCTCGAGCCCCTCCTTGGGGGCACAGCTGGAGAGGTCCCTCCCTGCTGCTGGCTGGGTCTCAGCGGCACGGTTCCCGAGGATTCCCTGCGTGCCGGAGCCGGCCGGGAGGGGAGCCCAGCCAACCGGCCCAGCCGGTTTCTCCGGAAGAGCAAGGCAAAGCCTCCGTGCCGGAGGGCGGCTCCCAGCTGCTCTGCCGGTCCCAGGCTCTTTGCCCCATAGTCCTTGGCCCCAGAAGAGGAAATCCTGGTTTTTCCCCTCCGGCTGTCCCCAGGGAAGGCTGTGGTGGTTTGTGGAGGGGCTCACTCCACCAGGCCCTCCTGCTCACCACTCATCCCTCTGTCCCACAGGTGAAAGCCAACGACTCGGACCAGGGCGCCAACGCCGAGATCGACTACTCCTTCCACCAGGCCTCGGACATGGTGCGGCGGCTGCTGCGCCTGGACCGCGCCACGGGGCTCATCACCGTGCAGGGGCCCATCGACCGCGAGGACGTTGGCACCCTCAAGTTCTCCGTCATGGCCAAGGACAAGGGCGCCAACCCCAAGAGTGCCCGCACCCAGGTGGTGGTCACCATCAAGGACATGAACGACAACGCGCCCTCCATAGAGATCCGAGGCATAGGGCTGGTCACCCACCAGGATGGCATGGCCAACATCTCGGAGGACGTGCCAGTAGAGACAGCGGTGGCTCTGGTGCAGGTGTCCGACCGAGATGAGGGTGAAAACGCTGTGGTGACCTGCGTGGTGGCTGGTGACGTCCCGTTCCAGCTGCGGCAGGCCAGCGAGACGGGGAGTGACAGCAAGAAGAAGTACTTCCTACAGACCACCACGCCGCTGGACTACGAGTCAGTGAAGGAGTACACTATTGAGATCGTGGCAGTGGACTCGGGGAACCCACCCCTCTCCAGCACTAACTCCTTGAAGGTGCAGGTGGTGGACGTGAATGACAACGCTCCTGTCTTCAGCCAGAGCTTCACCGAGGTGGCCTTCCCCGAGAACAATGAGCCCGACGACCTGGTGATGGAGGTCAGTGCCACCGATGCTGACAGTGGCTCTAACGCCAAGCTGGTTTATTCCCTGGTGACAGACCCTGCCTCCAAGGGCTCCTTCACCATTGACCCTGACTCTGGGGAGATCCGGGTGAAGGCAGTGCTGGACCGAGAGCAGCGGGAACGCTACGAGTTCGCGGTGGTGGCGACAGATAAGGGCAGCCCCAGCAAGACGGGCACGGCGACTGTGGCCATCAACGTCATGGACAGGAATGACAACGACCCCAAGTTCATGCTGAGCGGCTACAACTTCTCAGTGATGGAGAACATGCCGCCCCTCAGCCCTGTGGGCATGGTGACGGTGATCGATGCTGACAAAGGAGAAAATGCCCGTATCCAGTTGTCGGTGGAGCAAGACAATGGGGATTTTGTCATCCAAAATGGCACCGGCACCATCCTCTCCAGCATCTCCTTTGACCGGGAGCAGCAGAGCACTTACACCTTCCGACTGAAGGCGGTGGACGGTGGGGATCCTCCCAGGTCTGCCTACGTGGGGGTGACCATCAACGTCTTGGATGAGAATGATAATGCCCCCTTCATCACTTCACCCTCCAATGCCACCTACAAACACATCCTGCCCCACACCAGCCCCGGCCAGCAGGTGAGCAAGGTCAAGGCAGAGGACATTGACTCCGGCGTCAACGCGGAGCTGATCTACAGCATCACAGGAGGCAACCCCTTTGAGCTCTTCCAGATCTCCCCGCAGAGCGGAGACATCACCCTGGAGAAGGAGATCCTGCGCAAGCACCACGGCCTGCACCGCTTGGTCGTGCGTGTCAACGACAAGGGCAAGCCCTCGCGGCACGGCACGGCCCTGGTGCACTTCTACGTCAACGAGACGCTGGCCAACCGCACGCTGCTGGACACGCTGGTGGGGCACAGCCTGGACACCCCGCTCGACATCGACATCGCCGGGGACCCCGAGTACGAGCGCAGCAAGCAGCGGAGCAACATCCTGTTCGGAGTCATCGCCGGCATCGTGGCCGTCACTCTGGTCATCGTGCTGGTCGTCCTGGTGCGCTACTGCCGGCAGCGGGAGGCCAAGAGCGGCTACCAGGCGGGCAAGAAGGAGACCAAAGACCTGTATGCACCCAAGCAGGCCAGCAAGAGCGGGAAGAGCAAGAGCAAGGTGAAGAAGAGCAAGTCTCCAAAGCCACCCAAGCCCACAGAGGATGAGGAGGAGACGGGGCTGCAGAAATCGCTCAAGTTCAACCTCATGAATGACTCTGTCAGCGACAGCCCCCGAATCCACTTGCCCCTCAACTACCCGCCGGGCAGCCCAGACCTGGGTCGCCACTACCGCTCCAACTCGCCGCTGCCCTCCATCCAGCTGCAGCCTCAGTCACCCTCTGCCTCCAAGAAGCACCAAGTGGTGCAGGACCTGCCGGCCACCAACACCTTTGTTGGCACCGGGGACAACAACTCGACGGGCTCCGAGCAGTACTCGGACTACAGCTACCGCACCAATCCCCAGAAATACACCAACAAGCAGGTAGGAGAGCTCATCCTGAGGCCGGCAGCGGCCCCCCCGCTGCACCGGGGAGCCATCTGGACAGAGGTGTGGGAGTGAGCGTGGACTGGCCCCCAGCCCTGCATGCGTGGCCCAGGGGGCTGGCGGAGGACTACCCTGGAGCTGAGCCACGGAGCCTGGTCGTGGGGCAGGGAGGGGACGGGGGTGGTGAGGGGGAGGTCAAAAACTGTCGGAGCCCTTGTCAGAGCGCCCGGGGCTGGGTCCTGGTGGCGCTGCCTGGGTGATGGTGATGTGAAGGGCGCTGCATGTGTGTTCCTCTGCATGTGGGGCTCTGGGGAGGGAATCCCACCCACCCGTGTCCCCTTTGGGGACTGGCTTTTAGAGCACTGAGGAGGGCGATGCCCACCCTCCCATCCATCTCTCTGCTTGGGCTGGCTCACGGGGAGGAGGGACTGGTCTTGCTCCTGCCACAGCTCTGGGCAGCCGGTTTCCAGCCCTGCCCTGGTTCAGGGAGCAGCGAGGAAGGCATTGGCCTCGCTGTTGCCAGCCCGGCTCTGCTGGTGAGGCTGAACCTTCCACCATCCCTGCGCCAAGGCACCTCAAAGGGAGTTCAGCGCCCGCTGCGGCTGCCCGGGCAGGTGGGGCTGGGTGGAGGAGCAAAGCTCTGCCTTTTTCCCAGGCTCAGGCTCTGGCTTCCCCCAGGCTTGGGCCCCCTGCCATAGCCGGCGCGGTGAAAGCCGGGCTTCCTGAGGGCGAGCACCGGGCCCGGAGCTGCGGCTCCGCCAGAGCCGCGTGGCAGCGGCTGCCAGGAGGGAGAGCGGGTCCTGGTGGCGTGGGCACGGGGCCGTCCGTGTACCAGGGCTGGGTCTTGTGCTCTTGGCTGGGGGAGCGGGGCACCGGGGTCTCTGCGGGGTCACTGCTCGTGGTGTAGCCGGGGGTCGTGCTGCGTGCGGGGCGGGGTGGAGGCAGGTCTTGGCTGCGGGCGGGGAAGGGCTGCTCGCTGGTGTGCACTGGAGCTTGGAGCTGTCCTGGGAGGTCGTGGGGTGAGCACGGAGCTTGCAGGACCCTCTTTCTCGGGCTGTCTGGCCAGTTAGCTTGCACCACATTTCTGCTTTGGCACCTGTCGGGCCTATCCTTAACTAGCTAGGGAGGGAGAGGGGGGATGAACGCCTGTGGCTTTGCCTTCTTCCTGGGGCCCCGTGGGTGAGGAGCACCCACTCCCCCCGTGCTGTACACCCTATGGAGACCCCTGCTCCTTTCTTTGTACCCCGGAGAGCGGCAGGCTGGGCTCCTGCCGTGGGGCTGAGCTCAGCTGCCCTGTTGGATTGACTTCAATAAAGTTTTCTATTTTTGACCAGTTGTGCCTTATTTTCCCCGCTGCCCCTGAAGATGCTCTTGCTCCCAGCAATTTCCCAGGTGTATTTTCCATGTTCTCAGCATCTGGAGCAGTGAGGCCCCACAGAGCCCAGAGCTCTGTGCTCACGTGGGCTGGCCATCTCCACAAACCCTCCACCACACGCCAGTGTGGCCAGTCCAGAGGCCTCATCGTGCTGACCCCTCATTCCCAAGTACATCTCCCATCTCCAGTCACTGCCTGGCCCTCTAAGGATGCAGCTTCCTCCAGGACGTGGTTCACAACACACGCGTGTACATGCACACGTGTGGATGTGGAGGCAGTCCGAGCCACGGACCAACCAACCCGGCTTTCTTCCGCCCCAACATCCTCCCTCAAAGCTTCTCCTGGTTGATCCCCACATCCTCTTGCGCCCCAGCCGTGTCCCACAGCCGGTGCATGGAGGAGCAGATCGCTGCCATGACCCAAATCCTGCCGGGAGGGCTGGGAGCCGCAGTGCTGCAATGAGGACGCACTTGGCGGTTGCAGATGGAGCCTTGGCGTGTCAGCAGCGCCGGGGGGAAGCACCCGGATCAAGGTGCTCCCCCACCCCGGGATGCGTCGGGAAGGAGAGATGCTCCCAGAAAAGCTTGCTGGCGGCAGGAGGGTGACGGAGCCGAGCAGACACGCTCCCCCTAAAGATGGCTCTGCCCTTCCTGGAGGGGTGGATGGGGGTGATGCTGCTGCCGTGGGGCTTGCTCAGGGTCTTGTCTCCAGGTGGCTGGAGAGAGGATGGATCCTGGTAGGCAGCAGCAGCACAGCACCCCTTCCCCAGGCCGTGGATGAGTCCATCCTACATCCTCCTCCCACCATCCAAGCATCACATCTCAGGGACCCCCTCCCTGGCCACTCATTCCTGTTTCTCATGATTTTTCTTTCAAACTGGGGCAGACATCCCTGTGCCCGTCACACCAGCTTCACCTCTTCCCCAGGGCCTCCAACTGGCTGCACCAGGCTGCCGGGGAAGAGGAGCTCTGGCGCTGGGAGAGATTAGATCATCTGGGGAAACCAGTGGTTCTGGCTTCGGTGGTTTGAGCCCTGTGCCAGCCTTGACTCTCACAGCCTCCTCGTTTGTTTTGCTAACAGCATAAGGTTTTATCTTGAACCATCCAGGAAGTGTCTGGGCCTCCTGGGCAGGCAGGGCTGGGACCCGCGGGGAGATGCGATGGCTGCAGAGGAGGAAAGGAGACACCAGCAACCACCTAAATAACTAGTCCCCGCGGGGCTGGGCAGGGCAGTCTGGGGGCTTGGCTCAGCCCTGCCATCTGCTTCCCTTTGGGAACTTTCTGAGAGAAGTTTCCCTTCCTTCCTTGTCCTCCGCAGCTCTTTGATGAGCCCGGGGTGAGAACACAGAGGTGTGGGGAGCGGCTCTTTCTTCTGCCCGTCTCCCAGGCTCCATCCTTTCGTACCGGGGGGGATACGCTACATCCTTTGCTGGCTGCACATACCCAAGCCTGCCTCGGGTCCTTACAGCCCCCCACCATCCCAGAAGCTGGCTGGAGTGGTGTTAACTTCGGCGAGCTCAGCAGAGGTGCCTGTACCTGCCCGCGGGCTCCGGAGCGCGGTGCAGCATTAATTACTCTCTGCGGGGGGGGGATAAGAGGAATATTGTAGCTGTAATGGACAGAAATGAAATTGTCTTGTTTTAGAATTTTGCATGGAGTCTCCATAAATTGCAGGTTTAGGTGTTGGCAGATGTCTGGGAAAGTCTCCTACTGTCCTGGGTCAGTGGGTTTTCTCAAGGTCGTTCACGTGGAATGAGCTGATAAATGGATCCAGCAACGAGCTGCAGATGGAGCTGAGGGTTCATGGGGGACCTGCCCTGTTTTTCCCCAGTTTCAGAGACACGCTGTGCTGGGAGCAATTCCATGGCACTGTGAATCAGCTCCTGCTCCCGGGTTCAACTGGACTTTGGTCAGATTTGGCTCTGCTGTGCAGAGACCAAATGAGGGAGCGTGTTGGTGAGGTCCCAGGGGCTGCAGGTCCCTGATTGTGCTGGGAAGAGTGGCTGGGCCTGTCAAAACAGCAGCCTGTGAGCTTCACTGAGTGCTTGGGGGACCTGGGGCAGCACAAGAGGGGGTGAGGAGTGGGTTGTACAGCGTGCTGGCTTCTGGGGTGTTGGTGAGGATGCTGAGAGCCCCGTGGGCAGGGCAGGAATGTGCAGTGGCTCATGGCAGGTCTGATGTCAGGGAGCGGTGCCTGTACCTGGGAGAGCAGTGTGGGGTATTTGGGACCTCAAAATGAAGAGCTTCAGCCACGGGAGATGAGGATCCCCGTGGTATGGGCTGGTCTGCACAGCCAGAGACAGCGTGGGTGTGTGCAGGCTGTGCTGCAGGGGGAGGTGACAGCGGGGTGCTCACAGCCAGCACCCCACAGAGGGGTGGCACAGAGGGGCGAATGATGTCTGTGACGGGGTGGCAGAGACACACGGACAGGCTGTTTGTCAGGGGTAGGTGATGCAGGGGGTGCAGCCCCTGGGAGGAGGTGACACAGGGAGGGGTACAACCCCGTCCCCCAAGGAGGGGACAGTGGGGTGTGTGCAGCCTGTACTGCAGTGGGAGGTGGCAGGGGGGGTACGCAGCCACAGGGAGAGGTGGCAGTGGGGTGCACACAGCCTGGACGTGGCAGTGGGGTGCACACAGCCTGGATGTGGCAGGAGGTGACAGTGGGGTGTGTGTAGTGTGCAGCCCTGGGCAGGTGATGACTCCTCTGTAAGCAGCACATCTGCAAGGAGGCAGTGGCACTTGCTGTCCCTAACCTGTCCAGGAGAACATCAAGTCTCTCCCGCCTGACAGTCCCTGGCCCCACCAGCACTTGGGACCTCGTTCTTTGCTCCCTTGAAAGGTCACCCAGCGCGTGCCACCTCCTAGGGCTCCCCACATCGGGCTGGGTGACTTGCAGCACTGCCCAGTCCCCTCTTCTCACCCTGCTGAGCAACATGCTGCTCGTTCCTCCCTGCCCTCCTCTTCCTCTCCATTCTCAGACCCCCTGCCTCTCCCCTGCCAGATGCCCTTGGAGCCAGTGTTGGTCTGTGGTGAACATGGGCTTTCCTAGCTCGGATCTGGGTTACTTCTTCTTTTTTTTCCTCCCCAATCTCCCTTCTTTTTCTTTTGTGTATCTGCTGCTCTCCACCCCTCTCTCCTGATTTCTGTGGCTTTCCCCTCGGCACCAGTCTCTCCCGACGGGCTGTGTGCTGGACCTGGCACAGAGGGATGGCACAGAGGGATGGCACAGAGGGATGCTGAGCCCTCAGCAGCGCAGAGCCGAGTCCTGGCTGGCTCTGATGGCCGAGCTGTGGATCCCCTGTGCGATGAAAGCCCTGGCTGTGTGGGCAGCCGCCCACTCCAAGCCACACTGATTGATATTCCCAGCACTGCTCTGCCCGCTCGGCCGGGCTCTCAGCTGCAGTGCTGTTCCCTGGAGCGGGGCCCAGCCCTGCAGCCTCCGTAATCTGACACCCAAATCCCGGGACAAAACCCGGCGCTGTGACGGGCTGTGTCCCCGGCACTTGGTGGTCCCCGTGTGTCCCCAGGGAGTTGGAGGTCCCTGTGTGTCCCTGGGAATTTGGAGGTCCCTCTGTGTCCCCGGGCACTTGGTGGTCCCTCCAACCAGAACGTATCCAGGAGGC